ATCCATCCATCCATCCATCCATCCATCCATCCATCCATCCATCCATCCAACTATCCATCTATCTATCTATCTATCTATCTATCTATCTATCTATCTATCTATCTATCTATCTATCTATCTATCTATCAGTTTTCAAGAAAAGATTGAACAACCATTTTTCTCAGATGATATAAGACCACCTATCTTTGGGCAATGGGTTCGACTAGAACAAGGGTCTCCAACCTTGGCCATTTTAAGACTTGTGGATTTCAACTCCCAGAGTTCCTCAGCAAAGCTGGCTGAGGAATTCTGGGTGTTGATCCACAAGTCTTAATGGCCAAGGTTGGAGACCCCTGACTTAGATGAGCCTTCTGGTTTCTTCCAACTCTATCATTCATGGCTGGCTGGGGAATTCTGGGAGTTGAAGTCCACAAGTCTTAAAGTTGCCAAAATTGGAGACCCCTGGACTAGAAGATCTCCAAGGTGCCTTCTCCTTGGACTCTATGATCGTAAGAAATGCCCTTCGTCAAAAGTGTGTGGCTTGTAGAGTGTCGCTTAAAAGTGGGTAAATGGATGGAAACATGTCAAGACGTGAAAATTTTGGAAGAGACAGTCTATTGTGAGGAATGCATGTTTGTCAAAAGAAACTGAGATTTAATGCGGTTGAAAGGAAGGGAGTCAAACAGAGAGAAGGGAGGTGAAGAATGAAGGAAGGGTTGAATGAAGAATGAAGGAAGGGTGAACGAATGAAGACTTGTACCTAATGCAAACACAAGCATCTGATATAAAAGAAATAGAGATAGTTTGATTAGCTAGGGTAATGTTTTTCAGCATCAGCCATTTAAAGAAATGTGGACTTCAACTCCCAGAATTCCACAGCCAGCAATGCTGGGGAGAGAATAGAATAGAATAGAATAGAATAGAATAGAATAGAATAGAATAGAATAGAATAGAATAGAATAACAGCGAGAATTGTATTTGCTCAAAATCGGTAAAGGGAACAGACTTCTACTGAAGAAAATGTGATTAGGAAAATATTAGAATGTGCAGAAATGAATAGATTAACACTTGTAATTAAAGAAAGAGAGCAAACTGAATATTATAAGGTATGGAAATTATTTTATCAATGGTTAGAGAACAAAATATGAAAGCCAGCTATAAATAATGGATTGGTTAAGAAGGATAATAGATATTTTTAATAGAAATAAATAAGCTAAGAAGAAAGATAAAGAGAAAGTGATATTAAATACAATAAGTATAACAAGATAAGATTAGAGAATAATACCATGTAATGAATATGACTGTAAACACTAACTGTATTGCACAAGATAATTGTATCCAGATGACACATCATCAAATGGAAGAAGGTATGTTTGTAATAAAAATAAAATAAAAAGTTTAGATAGGTAGGTAGGTAGGTAGGTGGATGGATGGATGGATGGATGGATGGATGGATGGATAGATAGATAATAGAATAGAGAGGAGAAGAGAAAAGAAAAGAGAAGAGAAAAGGAGAGGAGAGGAAGAGAGAAAAGAGAAAACAGGAGAGAAACATCCTTTGTTTCTGTGTCCTTGACGGTGCGATGTTGCCAAAGAACTGGGCGTGTGTTGAAATTGCCTGTCTGGTTATTATTATTACAGTTTACTTCCCGCAAGAGAAGCAGATGGAAATCTCGCTCTTTGGTTATCCCATTGTTCCCGCCTGTCCTCTGGGGGGAGGAGCAGCTTCGGTTGTCCTCCAAGGGCTCCTTCCTGGTTTCCAAATAGTTATATCTCCATGACCTTCTTTGCGAGTTTTGTGTCGCACATCATGCCATGCTGGTTGGCATGACAACCCTTTGGAGTTGAAGGTGGGCCTTTCCGAGGCGGTGGGAGAAAAATAGAAGGATGGAGGCAGGAGAGAAAACCAAACCTGCCCAGTTTCCAGAAGTAAACCTTGAAGCCATCAGAGATATTTGGGGGAAGATGGACTGAAGGCTGGAACACACGTAGAACGTAGAATAACAGAGCTGGAAGGGACCTTAGGGGGTCTTCTAGTCTGACCACCACCACCCCGCTTGAGCAGGAGATCCTATACCATTCCAGATAAATGATTGTCCATTCTCTTTTTTGAAAGTCTCCAGTGATGAAGCCCCCGCAATTCCTGAAGGCAAGCTCTTCCACCGGTTGATTGTCCTCACTGTAGGAAACTTCTCATTAATTCCCTCCATTTCTCTCCCTCTTCCATCCATTGCTTCTCGTCCTGCCTTCTGGGGCTTTGGAGAATAGGTTGACCCCCTCCTCTTCTTTGGGGCAGCCCCTCAAATATTGGAAAGCTGCTGCCCTCTCATCCCTGGTCCTTGAGATCATTGCACAGAGTTTAGGAGCTAATGGTGACAAGGATTTGACTCGGGAGGTTGGATTCTTAAAACTTAGAGCGGGGGCCTTCAAACTTGAGAGCTTTAAGACTTGCGGACTTCAACTCCCAGAATTCTTCCTCCTCCAGTCATGTTAGCTCCGGAATTCTGGGAGTTGAAGTCC